TTTTTATTTCTATTTCTGCATAATTAGATTCATCATGCATTTTGTTCAATAAACCTCAAAACAGTCTACACATTAGGCACACAACCAATGTTAATCAGATGCATAATTAACTGGCCTTCAATAGTCCTGATCTGTCTGAATAGTTTCAACATTTATTTGACTATCTTCCAAACAACTAGAAACAACATACAAGCAAACCCACCTGATAGTTTCAAATTTGCCTCTAAATTGTCAATGAAATGACCAAAAAAAAAAACCCTTGTGCTTGTACCCTATCTCCCCAAACCATAAACTTCTATCTATGGTTGCCTGCAAATAGGAAATGGCTGAGAAGACAATACCCAGGTAATTGACTCTCTCTCTCTCTCTCTCTCCTCTTTTATGGGTCTATCTCCACTTTTCTGTAATTGACTCTCTCTACTTTTTTTCTGTATAAACACCTCTCTCTCTCTCTTGGTGGAGTCTCCTTGCTTGTGGCTGGGATAATGGTTAAAAGTTAATTCTGCATCTGATGAACATTTTGGGTCTTTCTCACCGGTCATCTTCCCAGTTTCCGGTCGCCGGCCGTCCATTCGTCGAGCCTACAGATTTGTCCATCCATCTTCCCGCCGTTTTGATTCCTCCATTCCTCCTCTCTTTTTCTTTTCTGGTTTTAGGACTCAGTTCAAAATGTAGGAAGAGAAAACAGAGGAAGGAAAAAAGAAAAAAAAGGAACAAAACGACATAGTTTAATTAGCACTACAGGATCCACTGCAGGAAAACATTGCAGAGGATCCGGACTCCCATATATTGTACCAAAGTTACTTTTTGTGAGTGGTCTTGTGGGAGCTCAAAAACTCCTAACAATATTTGTAAACTTTTTTAATTAAAATAAATTTAAAAAAAAATCCTATCGGCTTATACATTAAACCAATAATTATAAAAATAATAATTATGCCATGATTTGTACTTTCTAAAAAATAATAATTATACATCTTTTGCTAAAGTGTATCATCTCTCACAAAAATTTCAAAGAAAAGATTAACAGAATTTCAGAACTAATCTTCTAATTTTTAATTTTGTAATTTTAAAAAATTATGAAATACACGTGTGACAAAATAATTGGTTCATCTACTCCATTAAATTTAAAAATAAATATCTATATAGAAATTAGAAAGTCTAAAATAAAGCTATAATCATATATTTCAAAATTCTTTATAGGTAAGTTTAACATTAAAATTTATTAATTTAAATTTATCCATATGTTGGGTTATCTAGATTATATCTAATTTAAAATTTTAAATAGCTCAAAATATTTAAGACCAATCTAATTTCAAATTTAAAAAAATTAAATATAATTTTAATAATGTTACAAGCCTTTTTTTGCACACACCTACTCTTGAGCTTCAACTAGTTGAATAAATAATATATAAATTTTAAATTATATGATATATGGCAAAATTTTATTCGAAGAATTAATTGATTATGTGTAAATATTTTGAAATATATATTTTTATTTTTTGTTAATAAGGTTATACCATACAAATTTACATGCATCATGTGTGTTATTTTTAAAATTTATGAGTAGCTCTCAAATATTTATGAATTATTATTTAAAGTGTGGATTATGCATAATATATCCCACATATAACGTACAAATTGACATTTATTTGAAGTATATATCATGCTTATTATAAGTTAGGCAAATTCTGAACCAAACTATCCAAACCTATAGATATCAAAACTTAAGTATTGGCCATTAAAATGATTTGACACATTTTTAGCCAAACACATAATAAAAAATGTAGCCTATAAGTAAGGAGTGTAAAAATGGTTCACGGCCCGGGGTAGCCTGAGCCCAGACCGAGACCTTGGGCTTGGGTTGTCATTTGAAGTCCGACTTGCCTAGCCTGGCCTATTGGCTCGCTTAAGGACCACTCAAAACCTGTCCATAGACCCACTCAAGCCCTAGTATCATTTTTAGTGAAAAAGAAAAAAAATTTGATAGAAAAAATATTTAAAAAATGTTTAAGCCCAAAGCCCAGGCTCACCGATCTAGCCCAAGGCCTAGATACCCCCTAGATTTTGTACTGGGCCTAATTTTTTGACCCGTGGGCTAGGCTAGCGCTGCACAAATTTTGACGAGAGTTCAGACGGCCCGACATGGACCGAGTCGGGCCCAATTTACACCCCTACCTAAGCTATCTAAGTTAAGTTTTTTTTTACATACAAATTTAGTTTATTTTATTTATTCATTGTATTAGTGTTTTAGTTTCCTAATTGTATAAAATTTGGCATTTACAAAATAAATAACACTAAAAAATTAAAATATTAGTGTCATGGTCAAATTAAGAGAATGATATTAAAGTAATATATATTTTTTAAATTGAACATATTATTGTGTCTTGTAATGATTACTAAAATTAGATTTATTTTAAGTTTAAGTTTTAAAACTTTCTAAATGTGTCACTTTAAATATTATTATAATTTTTTTCACTAAAAATGTATGGTCATAATTACATTGTCATCAATATTATTTTTCTTAAATTATGTTATCATAATTATAATTCTTTTTTTTTTAATTATTTGCAAATCATTCTTAATTTAGAAAAGAAAACCTACACCTACAAAAATCAGTTTAAGAAAAAAATTAATTTTAAATTAGTACATTAATATGTGAGTGGAGTATATTATAATGAATTCACAATTTTCCTGTAATTATATTCTCCAAACAGTAATATGGAAAGTTTTTAAATTTGTATTTTAAGTTCTTATATAGAAAGTACATATCTAGCAAAAATGGTTAATAATTAATTATTTATTTTATTAAAAATACACTTATCAGATTTGTTTGATTTAATTTTTGAAAATTATTTTTGAATTTTCATTTTATGTATTTTTTTTTTCTTTAATAATTTTATCTTTATATTTTTTTAACCTATTTAGTCCCATGTATGTATAGTTTTATTCCATAAAGTCCATTTTCTTGATTTACACTATTTTCTTAGACACTTATGCCCTTATATGTAATTTTGATACCTTTATAAATATTCTTTCAACAATTAGCAATTTAATGATGTGAACATTTATATTTTAAAATTCACATTTGTAGGAATGTAAATTGGCCCGTGGGCGGCCCGAAACCCGTCCACAAGCCAGGGCGGGCCCGGCCCGTTGACAATGTGAATATTCACATTGACATGTTAAAATTCACATTAATAAGAGTGTAAAATTGGCCCCCGTCCCGTAGCGGCGCGAAACTCGCCCACAGCCCATGGGCAGCCCGGGGCGGGCCCGGTCCGGCCCGTTGACAATGTGAATATTCATATTGACATGTTAACATTCACATTGATAAGAGTATAAAATTGGGCCGTGGCCCATGGGCGGCCAAAAGCTCGCCCGCAGCCCGGGGCGGGCCCGGCCCGGCTCGTTGACAATGTGAATATTTACATTGACATGTTAACATTCACATTAATAGGAGTGTAAAATTGGCCCCCGTCCCGTGGCGGCGCGAAACCCACCCCCAGTATCAATTAAAGCAATTAATTCAAATTCAAAATTATTGATAACGATTTTAATTTTGGAATACCATTTTTGAATATAGATTTTATTGATTAGATTTAAGCGTTTGTCATCAAGATTATTGGATTGTGAACGATTATCAAATAATAAATTTTCAGGATTAGTAGGATCAGAATGGGATTTTAATATTTATAAAATATACTTTAATATTAAAATATATCAAAAACTCTAAAGGTATTTATGAAATTTCATATACTTAATCCCATCGTAGAATGACAAAACAAACCCGAAATCTTGCTAGTCCGGTGTTTTTATGTAGTACATAATTTTTCTTAGTCTCCTTACTAGCAATCCTCTAAGTAAGTAATAGTCTTCTCACTAACAATCCCACCTCACCTACTTTTGAAAACAATCATGCCTTTAGTTCCACATAATACTAGAAGGATATTTAGGCCTATTTTGAGAACCTAACTAAAAATTAATTTTTTGACTTTTTAATTTTTGTAAGTTATATTATCTCTCTATTTTTAAAAAAAAAATTAAAAATTAACTTTTAACTGTACTTCTTAAAAGAAGCCTTAATAATTTGGAAAATATTATAAATTCTAAATAAATTATCAATTTTTTTATCAAACTTCTTATATGAGTGTGAGATCTAAACAAATTACATGTGTGTGAATCTCACATCTATGTGAAAGATTTAATAAAAAAAAATTGATAATTTATTTAGGATTCTAGTATAACTCTGCCACTATGCTTGGTTATAATTTTTCAAAAACACTTTTCAGAAAATTCTACTTTTTTATTTTTCGTGTTTTTTTGTTTTTATTGAATTTTTTTAATATTTTGAGCAATTTTTTTTTTTAATTTTTAAACATACCTAACATACATATACCTAAAAAGTAAAAAAAAAAAAATGAAAAAAAACATTTAAAAATTCACTAAATACCAAAAAAATAATAATAATAAGAATTCAATACATTTTTTTTATATTTTTATGTATTTATTAATTTTTTTAAATATTTTTTCACAATTTTTTTACTTTTTAGATACATCTAAGTAAAGTGTATCTAAAAAAATTGTTTAAAATTTTAAAAATATTCACTAAAAATAAAAAAAACACAAAAATCAAAAAATTTATTTCAAAAAATTTACAAGTTTTCCAAACAAATCTCTCTCTCACACACATCAAATCAATCACTTTTTTCAAAACTCTCTCTCAAAATAATTTTTTAAAACATCTTTTGAAAAAAAACCAAACCAAATAAATTTTCGTACTTTTTATTTCAAAATATGTTTCTTTAATACAAACTAAACAAGCCCACTGATTTTTCTTGTTTTTATTATTATTGTTTTTTAATTTTTATGGTTACTGAATGCGGCCAATAATTTTCCTTTTTTGACTGACCGATCAAACCAAATTACGCACCCGCGAGTCTCCAAGTGCGCCTGCCACGTAGCGTAGCTCAAAGCTTTGACGTGTAAAAATGTGACTACCGAGTACGAAGTGATGTTTGAGGACGAGCAGAGATGAGAGAGAAAATCTGAACTGATAGAACCAGACCAGCGAGAGGGGCTGTACGGACTTATTTTTATGTTTTTTTCGCAGGAAAACAAGCAAGAAAGAAAGAGAAAACGAAAATTAAACCCTATACAAAAATCTCTGTACCAAAAATGGTGAAGACAATCGTGAATTCGTAACCCGATCAGCTTGCTCTGATTATGTATATTCACATTTTTGATCACTGATCTTTAGCTTGGCATTTGACCCTAATCAATCGACTCCTTTGACCTTGCGATGACTTCAAATATCTGACCTAAATCTTTTACTATATCACATGCATATACAGATGTTATGTGGTGTTGATGATGACTGAGGGAGGTGCAATTCACGTGGACTGGATCTGAAACCCTAAAACAATCGCCATGGAACTGGACAAACATCGATGCATCAGTCCAAGGTAACTGCTTCGTGATCCTGATCAAAAATCGCCAGATCTGTATCGCTAACACCTTGGTTTTCCAGTGTTTTCCAGACTTTGTGTTGTATTTGGGACTTTTGAAAATATTTGTTTTTGACCTCGACGACAGACGATTTAGGGTTTATCTGGACCATATTACTGTTGATCCTAATCTCATTTATTGGCTGCTGGAATGAAAAAATTAAATTAAATCTTTGACTTGTAATTTTTCTGATGAACTTTGATTGGAAATTTGGGACTATTTTGAGTTTCTGTTGATTTTTGAGGTATTTGAAGCAATCACATAGTGGATCATTGTAAGAGGAGGTTATTTCCAGCTTGCTAGTTGTCCAGTATCATCATATACATTATGCATGCGAGGCATCGCAATCCTGGAAATGGATACAGGTCTAGTTCTATGGGAATGGGTGGTGTACCTGCATCCTCTCGAATTTCACCGGAAAGTTCAATGAGAGGTCATGGGATGTATAATTCAGAGTACCGGAGCTATAATCGTGGTTTTGGGCGTGGTCGTCCAAAACCATTCCAAGCAGTGCAGCCTCCACCACCACCTAGAACAGATATTTTTATGGAGGCTGGTCGTCTAGCAACTGAATATTTGGTTTCTAAGGGTTTGCTGCCCCCAAATGTACTTTCAGGGAAGTGGCAAAATGGCAGTTTGAAGAACCAGGTAGGGGATTTTCAGGGTTTTAGGCAGCAAGGAGATAGTTTGCATCTTCCTCAAGAGGGCCGAACTTCAGCTCTTGCTCGTTTGGGGAATGCTGCTGATGCAGGGTTGGGTAGGAGAAGGTTTGCTGATGAATATAATCCAACTGGGCCTAGAAATAATATGCAAGTTAGGAGGAGGATGGGATCCTTCAAAAATTATGGCTCAAATTCAGATTGGGGAAGAGAGATGGGAAGGAGTCTGTCATATTCTGATAAAGCTAGGGCTTGCCCAGATATGGAAGATAATGATTCTTTTTCTGGATATCAGGAAGATAAACAAGTTGGTCATGATGTTGTTAGTGGGGGGCAAAGGTCCTGCTCGAGTGAATTAGCACCTAAAAGTGATGGTGCTGGTGATTCGGAGTCAGTTTTGGAGAAATCCCAGTTCCAGGACAACACAAGTACAAATACAAGTCCTAATATTGAGAAAGATCTTTTACCTGAAACTGAAGTGGAACCCACTAAGAGGTCAGATGATACGAAACTCCTGAAGGAGGAGACTGTTGGGCTGCAGGATGGCACTAGTAATGATCAGGTTGAGAAACAAAGTGACACGGAGAATGCACGCATTCAGTATTGTGCAATGGAGGTTGATTCCATAAACAAGAATGGTGGTGATTTGTTAAGTCTATGCAGATTTGCCAAAGTGCCTACCAAAACACGTTCTTCATTAACGACCAGGGGTTCAAAGGCAGTTCCAAATACCGAAGAGGAAAAAAATCGGGATATGGGACAAGCGGACAAAAATTGTGAGTTGGAACCTACAGTGGGATCTGAAGTCCTTGTTAAAGATGTTTCAGTTGATGGCTCCTCAGTTGATGCATCATCCAATCAAATTCAAAGTTCAAAATGCCTGGATTCTGATATTCCAAAGGAGACACCTGTTATGTCTGCAGAGGATGTGGGAGAATTGGGTCCCATGTACACTGAGCAAGGAAAATGCGTGAGGTCTCAATCTTTCCCAGATATATCTTTCATGAATGAGCAAGAATCAAGTGAAGGACCTCCTGGGTTTGGAAGGTGCAGCTCCATGATTATGGAGAGAGGTGAGAAACGAGCTGCCCAACACAGTGATAGCAGGGACAGATTGAAGAAACCTAGAGAATGGGTCCCCTCGTTAGTTACCCAGACTGATGATTTCTTCCACCTTTCTCATTTGAGGGGAAAGCAGCCAATTTCACAAGAAGGAAGGAGATCACCTTGTGAGGAAGCAATCTTGACCATGGACCAAGAGAGGCCCACGAATATGTCTCAGTTTCAGAGACGTGGTGCTGGACCATGCATTGAGTACGCGGAAGAGAAGCAATTTTTTCCGGGTTCGTTTAAGATTTGTGACCTTAATCTTGTGGAGGCTTCTGAAGTGAATGAGAACCCTGATCCTGATTCAATTCTTATTTTTCCATCTATTCCAGAAATCAAAAAAGAAGCAACACCAGTAGATGTTGATTTGTCCATAAGTAATAACTGCAATATATCTGGTAAATACGGTAGATGTGGTGCTGATGGCAAAGAGATTGAGGTGATTGATTTGGAAAATGATTCTGTACAGGAAGACAAGGCCTTCAATAATTCAGAGAGGAAGTATGTTTCTCTTTTTATATCCTTTCCACAATAGTTCATCTGAAGTTATATCTGGCAGTAAAACCAGCTGCATGTTTCAGTTGAAGTTTGATTAGTTTATTCTTTCTTTCTAAGTGCTTAATTGTGCGTCTATTGCATGAGTTCTCTTCTAAATTTGGAAATGTTCAATTATACAGGGCAGAAACTGTATTTACAGGCTTGGAGAACTTTCCTAATCATGCATGTGCAAACGACATTTCTGACGTTCAGGATGGTTATGGGCTTATGTTCTCAGACTTGCTTGGACCTGATATCTCCAATTGTTCTTCGGTTCCAGCAGGCATTAATTCTCTGCACAATGAGATGGCCCTTCATGACGGAGAGGTACCATCTCTAACTACTGGCAACTGGTTATTGCTCAAATCTTTTCCATGTGCTTACTTGGTTGCTCAGTGGTCATTTGATTTGATCTTTATGGATATATTTAGATCATTGGATGTGTAATTCTTCACACTAATATTGGTTTATATATGTGTTCACTGGAAAGGTTCAAGTTATTACATATAGTCTTTATATATATGTATCTTAAAGTTTCTTAATACATTTCTCATCTACGTTAAATAACTAATTTTGAATTGATCATTACAGGATATACTCGGTGATGATGAATCAATTTATATGTCCCTGGGGGAAATACCAATTAGTATGCCAGAAATTTAATTCAACGGTATTTTTTTATCTTCTTCTTTAAATCTATAGTTTGTTGTTGATCTTCCAAAGGTGGTGTTTGGAAAATATCACTGGCTCTAATGTTGTTGATTACAGTTTAACAAACATTCAGGAACTAAACAATATGAAACATTAAAAAGAATTGCATTCGGAATGTAGTATACCCTAACAAGGAATGATAATTAAGTGAGAAAAACAGTAAAATTCATATGCAAGGAAGCACACTATGTGCATGGGCAAGGGCCACACCAAACAAGGACAATGATACAAATAGGGAATAGTAGTATCATGCCTATAATTACTTCAAAACAAATGTTCTTTCAGAATTAATTGCAACTATTTACATTTTGAAGATAAGGACTGTTTGATCCTGCTATATTTATTGTTGGAGGAGCAACTGAGTCTTTCATCTCACAGTTTAATTTCCAACTAAGACATCTTGGGAAATATACTTTCACAATACTGCTTTTCACGCTAAGGAGCTTATTGCATGGTGTTTTCCTTTCTACAATGTTTAGTGGGAGAAAAGAAATATTCTTTCCACATTGAATCATGTCCCAGTACTAATACCATTGAACATGGGATTCCATGTGATTAAATTTTCAGAATCAATTGATTCCTTGTGGGGATTGTTAAACATAGACAAAGATTGTTGAGTGCAAGGATTAGAAGTTTAGCAGAAAGGAGATTTTGAACTTTGGGTAGCAAGCAGGAAATAATCTTGAAAGAAACATTAGGTCCCACATGAGTGCTGGGTCTGGTGGTTGTATGCATGAAAAATAAGATGGTTAAAAGCATGGTTGGAGGCACTTACCTTGAATTGTGATCGAGTTTTGGCTAAATCCCTGTTGGGGCACTTTCTTTAGCTTCAGTCCTACAGTTTTTCAGTTACTTTGCAAATGTGATTTATCTTATTGCATATTCAAGTGCCAATACATAATGCATTTGTAATGTAGCCCAGGGATGTTGACTTTTCCAATTCATCAAATTTTTTTTTTTTTTTTTTTTTTTTTTTAAGTTTCCAGCCAGTGGGGGCGCGCCACGTCACTGGGGGCGCGACCCCCACTGGGGGTATGTAGCGCTGTTATGAGTTTGCTCAGTTAAAGATACAATTTTTTTGTTACATCCTCTATCATTTGTTTTTGTTTTACTTTACTAAGTGTTTTGAGATGGCATTGTTGTAGGCTTCTTGTGGGTCTGGGAGCAGCCAGGACAGGAATATGAGAAGCCCTTTTGAATCACTATATATCCAGCCATTCTTCAAATCTATTAGGTATGCTTAGTATTAGTAATTATGGTGTCTCAGCTCCAATCTCTAGCTCTATCTTAGTGAAACTCTTTTTTTTTTTTTTTTTATGGATTCTTGAAAACATGCTTTACCAGTAGGTGTTGTTAATGCTCTCGTTGTTTCTCATCATCGTTTGAGAAATTCATGAATGATAAGAGGAATGTTGCTTTTATGAATATGCATAAATAAAATGCTGGTAACAAATGATAAAAATAAAGTGTAGCAAATTCATAGAACGATAGATCTGCACTGCAATTGCAGGGAACGTACGCATGTGTAAAATCAATTCTTCCTTTTCAAATCATATGACGAGATGTATGCCTTGCTACAAATTGTGATTTCCTGCTGATATTGATTTTAGATGAGTGCCAGTTAATGCTGTCTGTATGATTCTGTTACTGTTACTTCTAATAGCATTGCGTCATTCCAAATGTTTGAAAAATGGGTGGAAACATTAGAGAACCATAAAATAATAAAATCTCCTGCCTTCATGATCCCTAAATTCTTTTAGCCACTAGAAATTTTCATGCATCTGCTTGTCATCCAATTTTTGTTTCCGCACCTTCACTTTGTCTTTTAAGAGTAAATATTAGTTATAACGGTGAAAGTACATGATAATATTACCAACCGCTATATAGTTGGATAGTGTCAAATAATCTCATTTGTAGTATTTTATTGGCCGATGATACCATGAGGATGGTGTCACCGTTGCACTCCATATTTGTTTGTGTCTTTTTAGACATGTTTGCTAAATCATTTGCACCTAATCAGAGAGATTCTCAGTGTGCGGTGAAATGCAATGCTGCTTTTTATGTTGTCTTGAGATGGTTGGTGCATCTATTATGCTCTTCCTTTTATCCATACCTACTATTCAAAGTTTTTTTTGTTTTGTTTTTGGGCCATCCATCCCACAAGTTTTCAAGACCTTGACTGTTTTTTACTATTCAACAAAATCTTTAAATGGAAGGAATCAGTGAATTTGGTTATACCTTTTGAAAGTCATTTTATTGCTTTTAATAGCAAAACTTTGCTTTTTTTGTGTGAAAGAAGAGAATATTTTTGAAAATACCAATTATAAAGTAGCTTAATTTTTATTGAAATTTGAATTTCCAGTGAAAAACCAATGAGCTATTTTTTGCTCAAGTATTATTAGGTTGAACGAGCTGTCTTACAATCCATTATGTGCGTGTGTCATTTTAGTCGCATTATATCATTTTCTTTCCTGGGAATTACCAGGACAAGACAGGAGGCAATGAAAGCAACCACTACATCTTGGCTGTTATTTTTTTTAAGGTTGATGATTGCTCTTTGGATATCATCTTATGTGATGATGGGTCTTTTATCTTTTATTTTTTATTTTTTTAGATGTTGGTCTTATCTTTTATTTAGATATCAATAACACTAATATTTTTGCTTAGTTATGATAATATATATATATAAATATATATATATATATATATATTCTTAATTTATCTTATAATATGATCACCTTGTTTGATTTGAATTTTTTGAATTTACTCTTCAGAAATTTTTTTTTATAAAAAAAAATGTATTTTTTTTATTTTCACTGAATTTTTTAAATATTTGAAGCAAATTTTTTTTTTAATTTTTAGGTACACCTAATATAAATACACTTAAAAAGTATAATATTTGTAAAAAAATTCACTAAATATCAAAAATGTTAAAAAAATATGAAAATTTAATATATTTTTTTGTATTCTTGTGTATTTATTATTTTTTAAAACTTTTTTTAATAAATATTTTACTTTTTAAATATATCTAAATAAAGTGCATCTAAAAAGGTTAAAAAATTGTTTAAAATTTTAAAAATATTCACTAAAAATAATAAATAATAAAAAATTTAATTTTTAGAGAATTGAAACCAAATACAATGATTAATGCCATACAAGTCTTCCAATTTTTGTTTTCCTTTTAATTTTTTTTTAAATCAAAAATTTATTTGATACATTATTTTTCTTTTCAAAGCAGGGATATTAATTTTAAAAGTTTCTAAATTTTTAATTATTATTATTTTTAAACTTATTTTTAAAGTAAATTCTTACTCTCTTCTACCTATTCCATTGTATCATAAATTGTGAAATTATTTAATATTTTTATACTCTTTAACCAATCATCCTTTAATATGTCACTTCATATTCTTTAATCACGTAACACAATATTTTATTTACTCACTTTCTTCATCAATCATAATATTATGAAATATCATATATTCATATTTTAGAATCACTGAATAATAACTCTTATAAATTGTACTATAAATAAAACAAGTTTTGAGTTGACTGGTTGCGGACGAGTTCAAATGAGCTCTGGTGATATAGACCGATCACCGATTGATCCTTGGTCACCACCTGATAATTAACTATTTTTTATTTTTTTAATATTTGTTTCAAAATTGAGATATAATTATACGAAAATTTAGAAAAGGAATCTCCATTCAGATATTTTAGAGAAGGAATATATTTTTTTTCGTTAAAAAAAAAAAATCTCCATTGAAGATATTTTTGGAAAATATATAGTAGTTTGTATTATTTTATTTTCATTTGCTGCTTCCGAAAAATAATATACAAAGCGCGTTCTGTGGGTCCCACTGTAATGAGGTGTGGGTCCCACAAGTGTGGGACTCACGTGAGGTTGAGGCCAGACTTCCATGCTAACAAGACTTTTCTCGATGCTTTTTGGTTGCACCAAAATTTCTGTGCATTTTTTCTAACGGGAAAGACACGTATGTGGTCCACCTTCCTAGCAAATTGCTGGGCCACTGGGCTGAAGCTGTCTCTGTTACAATCAATGGGCCTATTCAAAATGAGTTACCCCCCCAGGTCCATTATCATACCAACACAAGCCCAACTTCACCAAAATAGTATCTTGTTTTTTACAATAAAAACATGCTCCCAAATTGATAATGGGGGTGTTTGGTATAGATTATAGAGATTGATTATAACTTATTTTAATTTGAGAATATGTGTCAAGCTGTTTGATGCAGCTTCTGTTTGTAGCTTTTTACATAAAAATAGCTTAAATAAGTTGAGAAAAGCTGATTATTTAGAAGCTGGAGAATGGGTCCTTTTGGTTTTTACTTTCTGATTATCAACTTTTACTTTACAATAAGTTGTACCAAACAGTACCAATGAATTGTATGGTATAGATTTAAATTTATTAGAATAAACTTGGTTTACATATTATGTTTTTGGGATGTGTGTTTTTTTGGAAAAAAGTGTTTAGACTCTTGAATACAAGTTCGTTAAATTTGTTCACAATGATGTGGATTATTTTATGTCAGTTATTGATTAGTTTAAAAATTAACGACTTAATACCCAATTTCCTGTTCCGTCATTTGAAATTAATTTAAGAGTTGTATTTCATTGATTTCTAGCATTTATTTTTTTGAGTACGTAATAGTACTAAATGAGTAATACTTTTTTTTTTTTTTTTTGGGAGGGAGATCCGAAATGAGTAATTCTTTAGACATTTAAAATTTCAAATTTACTCATACTAACATGGCAAAGGATTTTAATTGGTTGATTTCTAATTTGCAATGTTTTATATCTTCGAAAATAAATATTTTTTAATATGAATAGACTTGCTTACCACGTTAAAGTTATGGATTCCATATGTATTAATTAATGTGGAGCTCACCACTATTATGTTTTTGTGATAAGAAAATATGATTTTAAAAATTTTCATTTATGTATAATCTGAATTTTGTGAGAAAATTATTTTTGTTCATGTGTGGGAAAAAAGAAAAAGAAAAGGTATCTAAGAAATGGAAGGAAAATGAAATTTGTACGTAGATAATGCCCCAAAGTATGCAAATGCATGCATGGTACCAAACACACATGAATAAAATAAACTATTATATAAAAATAATTTTTTTTTATTAATCTTCGTTAAGTCTTATATAATTTTCATATCAGGTCACGTTAGATAAAGCATGTAGCAAGGTTGTTCGTTTTTCACGTTTCACCTTTTTAATGGGTTATTATCCTTATCCCATAACACTGTTGTATTACTTTTTTGTACCGACCTATACATGGTGACCCACACCAAATAATTAGTTGGTTTACTAGGTATAGGTTTAATGCTCCTTTTTATGACACTTTTATCTTCGAATATTTATTTTATTTTATTTTATTTTTGCACAAGATAGAATATTAACGAGTTAGTATAGTGAATGGTAAATTATTACTATTTGAGCATTTGATTGAACACTTAACCTCTCTTTTGGAAAGTTTTGGTACAACTTATAAACATCGTTTATAATTATCTCTTTTTCTAGAGTTTGTGTTGTTTTAAGAAATAGTAAAAAATTGATATTTTTATTTTTTGACTTTTTTAGTTTTTTTGTGTAAAAAAGTAGAGAAGTGATGTGACCTAAAAAACTAAAAAATTTAAAAAAAAAAAACTAAAAAACTAATCTTCCCAAATTGCCCTTTTGTATAGAGTGTTTAGTGTAATTTTTGTTTATAACTTACAAAATATAAATAATTTAAAAAATTGAAAAAAAAGAACTAGTTATGTAAAACTTAATGAAGTGATGTTTTTAATTTTTTTTTACCACAAACACGTCAAATAATTATTATTTTTTATATCTTTCTTTACATTTTCTTATGTCTTCAATGCAACATTATTAAGATATACAGATGCCTACCTAGTTGCTCTCTCTAATTTTCTTAAAAATTCAATATGTTTAATATTTTTCATACAATGTAAAATAAACTCCTTGCTTCCCATTTAAAAATATAAAAATAAAAATAAAAATCTTCATGCATTACCACAAATTAAACCTTCAAGTTTCAACCATTGATGTTGTTGGGCCTTCGGATGGGCCGATAAACAACTCGAAAACAAAAGACCAGTCACTTTTTTCTCATCTATAGATGAGAAATTATTCGGTGTTTTGGAAGTAATTTTTTTTGTTACATTGGTTGTTTGGGGTGAGCTAAATAGGTCCCACTTTTTTTTGTCATTAGTGATTTTTTTTTTCAAAATTATGTTAAATTTTTTTTACTTTTCGATTCGTCTTGTGTAAATGAATCTAAAAAGAAAAATGGTAGAAACTCCAAAATATTTATCAAATTTTCTATTAAATATCTCATGGGTATGAGTTTTACACCCATATAAGACTTTTAGCCTCCGTTTGGGAAGTGGGTTGGCTTTTTGACTTTTTTGCTTTTTTGGCTATTTTAGCCTGGGCTAAAAAGTTTGGTTTGGGAAGGGCTTTTTAGCTTTTTGACTTTTTTTGCTTTTTTTGTGAGAGAAGAATGTAATGATTATGAGTTAGATGTGATATTTTATTTTTTGTGGCTAAAAT